TGTGATCTGCCTGCAGCCTTACTGTAAACATCTACCATTATTGGATGAGGAGCATTTGCAATCAGGATAATTTTGGGGGGTTGTATTTCGCCAGCACATCCTTCACTTATGCAACTTCATCAACTGCCTTTTCCAGATCAGAGACTTTCAGTTTCACCCTTAATGCATCCGTCAGGGACTGCATGAACTGTGCGCAATTAGGAATAAAATGTGAGGGAAGCAGGTAGGAGATACGGCCTGGTGGAACCTAACCCATCGGGTAGTGGCTTTGTTCTAATGCACGTTGTACAAATTCTGGTGGGCTTGCACCCAGCCTCCTGAAAACCAACATATAACTGCCCAGTCAATGGGTGTGTCACCGTGTGAATAGCGTCCATGGTCCGTCGATAGAACCCCTGACAACTTCTGTAGTATGTATTCGAATGAGTGACATTTATATGTACACAGATTTCGCTATTAGTCTCCTCTTCCATTAGTTCTCAATCCATGCTGTTCCTCACCCCATGAATGTTCACCGCATATAGATGAAAACTTTACCAGATTAGTGTACACATTCATTTCTTCAGTTAGATCCTTGGCTGAACGTTTATATTAGTTCACTCTTAGTTTGAGTAATCTACACACATAACCCTGTGTGTTGGCAGTTTAGTGGTAGTGATGGACCGTCAACCACCTCACATGTCCAGGGTTCGACCTCCGATCGACGCAGTGCTGAACCTCATCAAGATAGCATTAATGACGTCAAAGACAGAAGGCCAAGCGTGAGGCTAGCAACCCCACGTCATAAAAACCAAACTCCTACCGAAACTTCAAAGCTGTAGCTTGAAGCCCTATATCCCATCTGGAACGCGAAGGAATGAGATTATTAAATAGACGTGTTGTGAATGAACCAGGTTCACCAGTTTAGTGGCCGACTTTACTGTCGAAATTATTACCTAGACAACATGCACTATCACAGAAAGAAGTTGCACTATGTGATGTTTATTTCAAAAGCACTATGGTTGGAAAGTTAGATTGTAACACCTAATCAAACATAGAAGGGTATTCACCATCCAGTGTTGTTCACTGGACAGAGAGAGCGTTACAAAACATAAATGCATTATTCATACTTGGCTACTCGTCTCCCCCTTGTGAGTTCTCTAAAAATTGACCACCTCGGAGTGACTACACTCCCTTGTGTTGATGACGTCCTCCAGCAGCTAGCATTTGATCAAATTTCATAGTTTCGTCCACACTTGGTATTAATAACGGTGTCGGGAAAATTTGCCCTAGCCACGGGGTAATATTTTACGCATATAATGACCAACTCGATTTCAACGCGAGCGGAATTAAAAAACGACGATAAGTCGAAGATTTATTGATCAACCAGCTATTAGCCAATATAGCAAGTAAATTACATAGCAGCTTGACTACGCAATTCACATTGGGTTGCTATCAGTACATTAAAACAGTCTAAAAATTACGTCAGTACAATATACATTGATACTTCTGATCGCGTTGCTCCGGTTTTCTGTAATTGGACAAACGTCTCAGCCAAAACACGCATTTTCGCCTCCGACGAACAAGAAACTGGTTAGAATAAACAAGTTCATGGAATGTCCACACTCATCTTTTTTGACATTTGCCATATAGTTTCTGGAGTCTTCTCCAAATAACTTCAGCTTTTTACTCTGTCTAAAAATAGTGCTCATCACAGCCCGTTTCCAAGTAACTGAGTATTTCAATTTTCGCTTCACTATCCGTATTTACAAGTCAGATGCTGCAGTGATATGGTTTGTCATTAAGCTTATTACGTTTAGTAGGGCTGGCATAGTGCAGCATATTAATGGTTTAGAAGCTGAGGGTGTTCGTCTTCAGGGATAGTACAACGTATACTTAAGCAAGATCTTGCACCCACTAACTCCCAGAGTATTTGTCCAGCAAAGACCAAAGACAATTGACAACACCAAATTGATCGTCCTAAATGCGAGTTAGGTTTCGCGACAGAAATTTTAGTGCGAGGATGATTGCTTAACTAGCTCGGGATCGTGCACGAATAGACAAACGTAACATGATAGAGTGCCAAATGGTGTGTTTACCTGACCGCGAGCTTCCAGCTAAACAGTGCTGCAGATTAATAATTTTGGAAAATTACCTACCGTTGCAAAGATGTAACCATTATCGAACAATTCCATCAAATTTTCACCCGATATGACCATGAGAGAGTAATCAATGATAAAAGAACAGCATTTACTAGTTTTGATATAGAAGTGGGCTCAATATCCAAGAGTCAGACAGACCCCGATGCCCATCTGGAACTCAGCAACTGGTGCAACACTAGGGTCAGGAGTGATAGGAGGTCATTTCAGACTAAACTTGCCAACCACAAAAGCCTGTACCGATTCATGTCGGAGAGAAAATCAACCAGCCAGAGACAATGCGCTTTAGTAGATTCAAACGGTCAATATCTCACTAGTCTGGAAATGGCTGAACGTTCAGTTTAGTCTTCGCCAAACAGCTAAACAGCAATGTAGGTATTACTAGCATGGACCAAAATGGCTGCACTACTATGTCACCAGGGGAAAACCTACTGACTACTTTCCAAATAAACCCGGTAATAGTGCTAGGGGAGCTACAGGGACTCATAGTTGGTAAGTCCATAGGCTCTGATTACATCAGGCCATCTGTCCTGAAACAGTGCGCCGAAGCTCTCTGTAGGCCCTTATGCAACTTGTTCCAACGCAAAATGGAACCGGGAAAACTGCCAAGTGAGTGGAAAAGAACCATAATTTCTCCGATCTTCAAGGGTGGGGATAGGCAAAATGCCACCAGTTATAGACCAGTAGCTCTACTCCCAGTGGTATCAAAAGTACTGGAAAGTATTATTGACGATCGCATCAGGGAATATCTCGATAGGTCCAATATACTCCATGAAACCCAACACGGTTTCAGGAAAGGCAGATCCTGCGTTACTAACCTACTATCAGCTTGGGACGATTGGACATCATGCTGGGATATGAATGTTCCAGTCCATGTGGTCATTGAAAAGGCATTTTACACAGTTCACCATAACCTTCTCCTACACAAAATAAGCCAGGCAGGTATAGGTAAGCCACTTCTGTCATGGTTGAAGGGCTACCTAGATGAAAAGGGATTCTGCACCAAGGTCAATCGAGTCCGATCATCTTGGCACAACTCGTCACCGAGATAGCCTCAGGGCTCTATCCTAGGGCCATTTATGTTTTGATTTTTATCAATGACCTGCCATGCCGTCTAAGCTGCCCGACTCTTTAGGCTAACGACGTAAAGATTTAGAGAGCGACAAATTTTGAAAAGATTCAGATAGGCTGCAGACAAACCTAAAACTCCTGGAAGACTGGGTGGTGACCAGTGGGATGACTTTCAAAGTGAAAAAGTGCAAAGTAGTGAAGTTACGCACCTGTAGGCTTCGGTATGCGTCGAAAGCTTGTCCAGCACAACATTGGAGCGTGACTTAGGTCTAGTTCTAAGGAAAAAATAGACAGAAGCGTGAATTACACGCGGGGTGTAGGGAGGATATATTCGGTCATACAATTTACACACAGACAGTTAGGTGCACTCACTCCTGAGCTCTTTCTAAGGTTGTACAAAACATGCATCCGACCACACCTTCAAGCGCACAATATCACTGCACCCCCATTGCTTAGAAGAGACGCAAAACTTTTGGAAAGAGGTCAAAGACAGGAGCAGTGATAGGTCTCCGAAACAAACCCTTTGACTAGCGGCTAAAGAAATTAGGTCTCTTCATACTTAGCTACCGTCGGCTCAGTATGGAATTGATTACTGTCAATAAGATATCAGATGTCCATAATCACCCAAACAAAGGTGCTGTGTCATCAAGTACGTATGGGCTTCCTCGTGGAAATCCGGAAATGATAGCTGGCCAGAGGGCAAAGATTCGAGTGCTCTGCCTTTTCTTTTCCCTGCAAGTTTGCTGTCCCTGGAACTCCTTACTGGCAGACGTAGCTAAGGCGCCGTCCATGGATAGCTATAAACAAAGGTTGGAAAATCATGTGGCGACAGAAGGACTGCGTCAAAATGGCCTATCCCCTTAAAATCTCATACGCTATTAATTGGCAGACATCTAAACTCATAGTTTTACTTCTTCACATTTCCCCTGACTACTCCAATATTACGTACCTTACACTATCATTGCTATTATTGATATTATATATGTCTCATCTTCTAATTTCATTAGCTGTCTGTGTTTTTGTTTTTATTATTTTTCTGTCTTTTAGCCTGAATGACCTACACCAGATATATGTTATCTATTTTCTCTAATCGACAACACCGAAGGACCAACTGGTGAAAGAATAAACTCCATTCACAGTAGAAACAAGGTCTTAAGACACTGCAAACTACAAACAACATATAATTAATCCCAACATCGCTCCTTTCGATGTCAACCAGAACTACTACAATCGAGTGGCGGGACCAGAAACCTTTACCTCACAACTGAGAAGTGAGCATAAAGAAATCAAATCGGTTTACACCAGCCCATAGAAACGAAGCTGGATATTGGAATACTACCTTGCTTCTTTGAATAAGTGTAAAGGAAAGGAAAACGAATCAAAACGATATCAGGAGAAGCCTGGATATCAAGTCGAGGAGATTCTGTCTGAAGTGTCGGCACATTTTGTGTCCAAGACTTAAGTTTAATAGCAGCAACAACGTTTATCTTGTACAAATGATATATAAATACACCACTTTATATTCCTATTCAACGAAGAACAGCGTGCTTAAAATTTGTGATTCTCCGTGAGGTGGCAGCCACCAGTTTTACCAGTGTGAATGGTCAAAACCTTGAGGCAGTTGCAGCACATGGTACTTTATTTTATACTCTAGTGATCGCAATGCATCTTTCCCCCAGAAAATCCTTAGTTTCTAAAGAATGAAATACTAAATTCTTCAGAGAGCAACAGGGGTTTTGAAATGCATCTCGACCTTTCTATTGGACATATTTTGGGAGTTACGCGGCTTTTACGACATTTGACCTAGCGGTCATCGAACTTTGGTAAGTTTAGGGACATTTTTGATATATGGTTACCATACGGCTTCCATACTATGTTTAAAGGTATGTTATCTTTCAGAGTTAACTGGTAGATACGAGAGAAATGTACAGCATAGCAAATGTGACCAATACAGTCAGATAACGAGTGGGAACATGGTGATAAAGAGAAGACTGAAATGACCATGGAATTAACTTTTTTCACCCAGAAATTCATGATATGTATTGGGTTTCAAACGGTGGATGTTAGTCACAGTATCAGGCTTAATATTAATTTAGCGTTTATATATTCAGTGCAACGCCTGTCACATGTTATTCCCCTCTCGGAAGGACATTAGAATTCTTCCTCTCCAAAATCAACAAGTGTATTATGTGGCGTTAACCTTATGCCTATTGCTACTACCCTTCAGTTTCTTGAAAATAATAGAAAAGTAGCCCCTACTTATTTGCCTTTTTCCACCTGGCAAATGATAAGCGAAACAATTTCGGAGAAAAATGGCACCATAATCAGCTCCCAGGATAGACGACTGGAACGCTGGAAATAGCACTATGAGGAGCAGTTTAATTGGCCTACAGCCACGCTTAACCTGCCGAACATCCAACACCTCTCTGAATGGGATATAAACACAAGTCCTCCGTCCTTAACCGGGGGTACTAAAGCTGTCACTAATCTGAAACAAGGCAAAGCAGCGGGACCTGATGGAATAACTCCAGAGGTATTTAAGTACGGTGGAGACAGTTTACTGTCTGCATTAACTGAGGTTCTAGGCAGCGTTTGGGAATCAGAGGAAGTCCCATCGGGTTGGTGTAAGTCACTGATCATTCCGACATACAAGAAGGGAGACAAGTCTTCTTGTGATAATCACAGAGGCATTAGCTTGACTAATATAGTATCTAAAGTCCTAGGCTCAATAATCATGGGTAGACTAAGTGGTGCTTAGCAGGCACAAACACGAGAAAACTAGGCAGGCTTTAGGCCAGGAAGAGGGTGTATTGATCATATCTTCACCCTCCGACAGATTCTAGAACATAGGCATTCCTACCGGCGTCCAACAATCATTATATTTCTTGACCTAAAGGCGGCATTCGATTCTGTCGACCGAAAGTTTCTCTGGCGATGCTTGGCTATAAAGGGAATGCCGAGAAAATACATTGCACTGATTAAAGAACTCTACTCGTACTCATGCAGCCAGGTGAGGTCTTACGGCGAGTTGTCATCTGAAGTGGTGAAGACTAGTGGTGTCCGTTAGGGATGCCCATTACCCCCATTCCTATTCAACTTCATCACAGACGTACTAATGGACTTAACCGTAACACACTTCAGCGACTTAGGGATTGACTTGCTACCAGGGAATAATCTCGTCGACTTAGAATATGCGGACGATATAGTCCTTCTAGGCGAGGACGCTGACAAAATCCAGAGTCTACTGAACACCTTGAGCAACAATCTTCGTATGTTTGGCATGCGATTCGCCCCTGTAAAATGTAAGATGATGCTGCAGGATTGGACTACACTGACCCCTAGATTAGAAATAGGAAGTGAAGTTGTAGAGCACGTTGACCGCTTCACTTACTTGGGAAGTACCATCAGTCCCAACGGGTTGATCTCCGACGAAATCTCATCACGAATACAGAGGGCTAGTTTCGCATATGGCAGTTTACGCCGTCTCTGGCATAGGCGTGATATCCGACTATCGACCAAAGAGCGTGTGTACTGCTCAGCAGTCCGCTCTGTCCTCTTTCATGGCTGTGAGTGAGACCTGGCCATTGAGGGTGGAAAACATGAAAAGATTTCATCATAGGTGTCTGCGTTCTATCTCTATCTATCGTTGTCAATGGCAGGCGCAGATGCATCCACTCCTTGTGACTTATGATTTTCAATGAAACTTTTGTTTTTCGTTATTACTATTCTTTTGTCTCACACCCCTGTTTACTGTCTCAAATATGCATTTCTCCTACTTTCTTCTCTTGCTTTGTGTGCTACATGGAGTGTGGCTACTTGAACTGCCGAGGGTTCCGTATTCTCCTTCTTACAGTAACTTTCGTTAGCGTCATGCTTGTACTGTTTCTTTGCCAGACATATTGCTTCGGTGGTTGGAACAATTTTAGGCAGATACCTAAATATTTTTTTCTGTCTCGTTTGTTGTTGTTATTACTGTGGCTGCTGGTTGGTTTCCTCAAATCTCAGTTGTAATGACGAACTGATAACATAATGACAATTTCAGTTAGAGATAATTTTTTCTTCGCGAAATGAGTAACTACGTCTAACACGTTTTTTAAATGAATTTTTTGCGTCGTTAAAAGCCTTCAATTAACGTTCCAGGTTAAGTGAGAGCTACTTTTCTATTATTTTCAAGAAACAAAGAGGTAATAGCAATAGGCTTAATCTTAACACCGCATTACTCACTTGGTGATTTTTCCACAGGAACAATTTTAATGTCATGGCAAGAAGCAGGCATAAAATTTGTGGCAGATGATGATGCACTGATTATATAACCACTTGACTAATAATACTAGTCCTCATATTATGCTTAACACTCATCATCACTTGAAACCCAGGACATATCAGTGTTTACCTTTCTAAAGTATCAGTTGTTTTTTTTAAATTTCAAATGGGTGGTGTTTTTAGCCTTATGTTCAACCATTCCCTCTTCACCACGCTCACTAATCGGTCAACGGGTCTTATGAATACGTCTGCTGGAGGTCGAACTTTCGATCACCTGCGTTATTTGTTAGTATTCAACGTCTGTGTAAATTACTCAAATTAGGAGTGAACGAACGTAATCATTTAACTGCTTATATGTCTAGGCACACATGAACACATGCGAGTATAGTAGTTTGAAGAACAACTCATCTATAGCTGATGCACATTCGTGGAATGAAGCACATAACGTTGATTGGGACAACATTTATATTCGGATATCCAAAATGCGAATTATTGCAAAGAAAGACTGATAATAGAATCCATGTTAGCTGGAATGTCACAGCGGGGGGGTGAGGTGACTGACTGGTTTCAACATAGAACTTTGCACCGGTGTGCAGCAGTTCAAGTCGCCACAATCCATGTAGCACACAAAGCAAGGGAAGAAAGTAAGAGGAAATGAAAAATAGAAACAGTAAACAGAGACATGAGGCAAAAAGGATACTAATACCGAAGAACAGTATGGTTTTATTGGATACTATAAGTCACAAGGAGTGGATGCATCTGTGCCATCATTGACAACGAGGATTTTGAGCTATATCACCGATTGTCTCCAGCCTACATTGGTTTTACCGTCCTGAGGACCCCAACCAGTCAGGAAGTTTACACCTCCCTCCCTAAGTGACTGGCTGGCTTAAACTAACTTATGGATTTCATTGACTGATTAACCCATGTTTTGGTTTAACCACCACTGGCTCTTTTCCAACCTGATCAATGCTATGTCAGTCAGCTAACATTGCCTGTTGTCGAGAAAGGCGATGGATGGATAGGGATGCATGCGTAACACATGTCCTGACCATCTCAGTCGATGTAGCTTCACAGCCTCCTCGATTTATTTCCCCTTCTTACCTAGCACTCAATCGACTGAGGCCTAACCTCAATTTATTATACCACTTCACACGAGAGATAGAACACCTACCTTATGATCAAAAATAGCTAGTCGGCCTTTTCATGTCTTCCACTTTCAATGGCCATGTCTTTCAGCTAGCCATAAAGGTGGACGGAGCAAATTGCTGAGCAGTACACACCACATATCCTTTGATCGATAGCCAGTGGGATATAATAATAATAATATAATAGTTTTATTCCAAGCAGTATTTGTGGTACAGGTATGGAATTTTCAGCGTGCATTACAATATTGCATCTAATTACCTCATAAATTTTATAAGATTTTAAAAACAAAAAGCAACAGCAACAAAAAATAGATAAATAGAAATAAATTAAAAAAAGAACAGCGTTGCATTCATATTTTAAACAACGCACCGCAGGAATATGAAATATAAAATTAGTGTGTGATAGAAGATGTGAACAACAATATAATAGTAACACAGAAAGGAAAACAAAAACGAATGGGAAACTTTGTTAGAGTGCCGCAGTAAGTTGATCGTGTCATACCTAACGGATTTCTCGTCACATAACCGCTGTACCAGATAAGGTATTGTGGAGTTTTTGTACTTAGAAGTCCTAGCATATAGCCTCCTATAGCTGCTTCTAGTTCTACCAGATGAAGTGCAAGGAGAGAGCTGCGTATAGAGAGGATGCTCGGGGTCTGACAATATAGTATTCGCTAGTTTCTTATATGACATTATTTGTCTATCCACAATAGTGTTAACCAGTTGGTTTAACGAAATCCCACTTCCCCTACTAACAGCTTTTAGTGCCCTACGCAGCAAAGCAAAATCTTTCTTAAGTAGTCCAGGGAAGATTAATGGGGAGCAGTAAAGAGGGGTGGGTAGAATACAAGAATTGACAGACGGAGAAAGCAAAGACTGCTTTATATGACGTCTGCTAAGCCAGAGGTGGCGTAAGTCCTTTGTATCTGTGGTGAGTTTGTATCGGCGATCAACCCTCTGGCATTGGCTGATGTAACTTCCCAAATACGTGAAGTGGTCAACAGGGTGTGTGTGACTACTTGCTACATCTGTTGACAACCTTGACTATAATTCTGCATGTAAAAGGGAATGAACAAATATAAAATAATAAATGGACTACTATATATAATTAATTCATTGTAATTCTTCTTTCTTTTTTTAGATCGTCTCGTTTTACTCCTTGATAAAGGCTGGCGGTGTAGTGTTGTGGGCGTTTGCGTGTTCTAGTCTCATCTTGTAAATGTGACATTATGAAAAAGAAACGGTCAGTGGCGACTGAATTAGTTTCACGGGCTTCATCTGTCCTACCAGCATTTACAGATATCTTTGATGAGGAGACATTCTACATCTTTTTCGCTTGCCTTGTTGTCGTCTCTTTCGTTGTAGCCTTTGGTGTTGCTTGGTATTTTGATGTGACAATTAAAGATGCAGATGATGCAATGAAGACGAATAAAAGATCGAAACGCCGACCACCTGTTTCGACTACTAATACTACTACTACTAATAGAAATAATAGTAGTCATAGTAGCAACAATACTAGATGATATTTTTAGGAAACACTTTCTTCTTTTTCTTTTCTTTTTAACACCATTTCCCTTATTACGTAATAGTTATCAATATTGAAAGCAGCACAAACTACCAAAGTTTTCTCCGCTTACAACATGTTTTACTCAATAACAACAAAAAAAGTAAAAAAGAAAGAAAGCTCATCGCTTATATCAACTTTCATGCCTGTGCAATATATCTATTCTCAATGCATTTATATTGTTTTATTTGCCTTCATTTTTTTGTCTGATTTCTCCGTTGTTTTTCTGTGTTCGTCTCTTTTTGTCTCAATTAAATATTGTTTTCATTACTTAGAGGTGATCATCAGTGTGGTGAAATGGTTTTCTTAATTTATTAAATTATTGATATTGTGAAAGGAATATATATATACATATATAAATCTATTTCTTAATGCTATTACTACTTCTGTGATTATCATTCCCTTGGGTTCTGGGTGCGGGAGCATAAGGCAAGGCTTCAGAAGCACATCTTCATTATAGGCGTTTGTTCACCAGAGTCTTTTCCAGTTGGCTTTTATCTCGTCCGTGTCAACCTCGGAAGTCAGCCCGACTTGTTTGTATATATAAATATTCATTCTATTCAAAGGCTTGCCTGACACGTAATGTTGTTACTCAGTGGTCGCCTCTGTATGTGTCTGATTCTTTCTCCACTTCTTTCGGTGTATTTGTAGGGCAATAGGTTTTTGATGGATCGTTGTCTGTGGTGTCCTAGTTACCCTAGTCCTTTGTGACTATCTGAACTTCATTATTGAGAGAAGAAAGGTATGGATTAAAAGTTTTCAGACATCTATAAAAAAGAAAATAATTGAGCAAAGAATATCCTTTTCGATAGATAATTTCCTCTCCTGGCTCTACAATTATGCATATATATGTTTATATACATAAAATATTCTAGAATAGTAGTCAATACCCATATGAGTTCTAGTGAGAAGTCGTGACCAGTGAGGTCTATCCAGATGTCACGTGTGAGGGTGGATGTCCCACCGACGACATTGGTTGGGGTCGCGCGAAATCAAGAATTGGTAGAAGTTAGAATTCATGGGCTGGCCATTCAATCGGGTCCCAGTGGCTGAATGGTGTACCAGCTAGCTCGCCTTGTAACTGGAAGGTCGTGGGTTCGAACCTCGTGTGGTGAGTGCGTACTGCCGATGATTACCAAACTAGGATGAAACAGCTGACTATCGAGTACTCCCTGGTTTTTAATGGTTCTGTAATTGATATCAATCCGTGATCAACTCGTAAAAACACAACTAATGCTTACAAACCAACTGTAGAAAAAAACAATATGAGCGTTTTTTAAATAATATCGATTTGTTAAATAAGATCACAGTGGAATTACAGTTCATTAAAGATGCTTAAATAATAATAATAAAGATATAATAGCAAATAGAATATCAACTAAAATTAAGGAAATTTCTACAAAAAACTGAGGATCATTCAAACCTAGATGGCCAAGCGGGTAAGGACAATGTCTGAACTAGCTTCTTTTGGACACATAAATTAGGCTTCTTAATGTGGATCCCAACGGCCTCAGCGTGTCAGAAATGATGTGCAGTACAAGTCTTTGACCCACGTGTGGTAGAAGCACTAACTAACTTGACATCACTATTGAAAATCTGAATGTATATATATGGATTACAATAGACAGTAACAATCACTTTGTGTGAGTGTGTGTTAAAGTTTTACAGTGAGTGGAAATATTAAAGTGCTGTAATAATATTTGTTCATAGGATTATGAATCACAAGCTGAATATGAATGAAAAACTAAGTAAATAAATAGAGGTCAGCCTAAAGTTCAGTAGACAAGTATGAAATAGATGATCGTCGGAAAGTAAAATACATTCGGAAATGTGAATATATGAGAAAATAAGATGATGGAGGCCGTTGTCAAAGTAGTAGACTAGATAAAAAAATGTTAGAATATGATAACATGAAATGCCTCCAAAGTCTCAGGATGGTCGGGGGTGGGTGCCTTGCGCTGCGGGTTGGCCACCCCTCCGAACACCTCTTGAAATGCTCCCATATGACCGGGCGTCTTACATAGCCTCTCCTGAGAAAGTCCTACTCACTGCCTTCACGTGGCGGAGGTGTTTTTCACCAAAGTGAGAGGGCGAAAGCGGATACCCGGCGCTCTTCACCGGGTCAACCCGACTGTCCATTGGATGACAGTCTAGGGGAGATGGCTAAACCCTGATTCCAAACCTCCAACGACTGGCGTATGAAGCTCACTGGAGCTCACCGGCAGACGTATGGACAAAGGGCTTGTTGGATGTCCTGGATGCCTGGCCCCATTCAAAAAGGCGTATGAACCGAACTCCGGTCACCGGCTGCCAATGGATAGTGGACTCCCTACTCCACTTCTACTGCCCTGTAGGTCACACTTGGTTGTGTAAAGGCTAGAGCTGCACTCTCAAACAAAAGGCCGAGCGATTCTGGGGACATCACTCGTACCAAATTCCCATGAAACTTCATGAACTCTCGGGTCTACCAAGCCTCCACACGATCCGTTCTCCTGTATGGCTGTGAAACCTGGCCTCTTCGCGCGGAAGATGTACGCAGACTCGAGGTAGTAGACCATTGGTGCCTCAGGTACATTCTGCATGTTCGTTGGCAGGACAAACTCTTCAACGAAGGAGTGCGTCGTCGCTGCTACAACATCAACCAAATTCCAGTACTGGTCCAACAACGTCGCCTTCTGTGGTTTGGCCATGTTCTGCGCCGACCAGATGACGATCTGGTCAAATCAGTTCTAAATCCCTCGCCATTACCATCTTGGCGATGTCGCAGGGGTGGACAGCTGAAAACATGGCTTGGTACAGTCAGGGCTGATATGGAGTGCCTGGGGTTACAAACCGTCTACGGACTCCGTCTGCGGAATAAGAATTGGATAACCCTGTCGCAAAACCTTGCATCAGATCGCCGCGCCTGGGCAGCGATGATTCGAGATGTTCATGAAGCCGGCTCATCCTTCCGTAGGAGATAGCCGAAGTAAAGTAAAATAACATGAAATGAAATAAAACAAAAATGGAACACGGAATAAAGAAGGATAACAAAGTTGTTATGTGAATTACATAGTAAATTCAAGACCATGTTAACGAAAGAGACCGTACACATTGTTTTTATACACAAAGTTCTGGCTTTATGTGTTATATATTGCCAAAGCCTCTGCTATACAAAACAAATGCATTCATGTCCCTTTCGGCGAACTTTGTAGACTATACTGAACAATGTGTCAGTTGCTGCGTTGTCAATATCTGCAATATGTTGCAATATCGACGAACTAATTAATACCTCTATGTCTTCCTTTGCTCAGCCAAACTGGGGGGTGCTCTCGAACGCGGCGGCGGGATATGTTTCTCACCGAACTTTCTATGTACCTAACTCCACAATAGCAGGTGAACATATAAATGGAATTAGACAGTCGGGGTAACATTTCCTTGACATTAAGGTGCACCAGTGGACTGGTAGAGTAGGTTATTCGTAAAGTAGCAGCAAAGAACGTGTTTCTCAGTGATCTGGTTAAGACGATTTTTAAGTATTTCACTCGCAGTTTCACCCCAGAATTCTAAGTTTAGGTGGAACACTTTTTTAGCTACCTTATCAATCTCTGTATTTCTTCCGCGTACTTTGTTATTGGCCCCTACGAAGCGTAGTGGATACCCGTTCTCTATGAAGATTTCTTTTAGTTGTTTGAGTTCGTTATCAACACTATCTTCATTACAAATTCTCCGCACCCGTGTTGAGAGAGAGAGAACAGATTAGATTCCTTTTCCTGTCAATGAGGACAAAACTGTAAAGATTGGTCAGTTGTTCCATCCACGTTGGTTTTCTGTAAATAGATCTTTTCAAAGATCCGTGAGTAACACATCAAGGAGAGAGATTTTTCCTTCATTTTCTTTTTCTAAGGCGAACTGGATAGTAGGATGACTGTCACTGAATACTTTCAGGATGTTATTTTTTTTCCTTCACCTTCCCCAGTGGAACATAGGGCTCCAGGCTAGTGGCTTGAAGTTTCTGTAGCAGTGTTTATTTTACAGGATGGGATTGCTAGCCTCATACCCAACCTTTCCTCTTCACCAGCTTTTTTAGTTCTGGCTTAGCGAGGTAAAGGAGTACGTCGGCCGGGGATCGAACCCCGGACCATGTACATGGTCGGCGAGCGTCCTAACTGCTATGCCACCGACGCACTTCAGGATGTTATGTATATAATTTGTGCTTTATTCCAAAAACAGTACTAATAATACAGCAAGGAATTTTCAGCATTCAGTACAATATTGCATCTAATTTACTCAAAACGACAAAAAATAAACATTACATAATAATAATAACAAAACGTTGTTATAGCAGCTATGTAGCAATTACAGTATGCGATAAGGAGAAAAATATGCATAAAGTATAAAATTGTAGTAATAATAATAATAACAACTAAAAGTAAAATAGCTAAGTTATAACTAAACGATAGAAAGGGGGACACCATAAAATTACAGAAAGAGGAACAATGAAAGGGTCGATTCACTTTGCTAATTACATAGTAACTTATATGTTTCACGTCTAACAGTGTCTTCATCACATAAGATACGGGCTAAATAGGGTATAGTAGAATTTCTGTACTTAGTAGTTCGAGCGTATAACTTCTTATATTGACTTCTCGTCCTATCTAATGATATGCAAGGGGATAGTTGTGAATAAAGGGGGTCTGACAGTATGGCCTTTGCCCATTTTGTACAGGATTTTATATGTCTCTCTCGACTATAGTATTGGCGAGCTCACGCAGTGGCATATCACAAGCCCTACTCACAGCATTTAATACCCTTCGTTATATGATATAGTCTTTTTTGAGAAGCCCAGGAAAGATTAATGGAGAGCAATAGAGTACAATAGGTAAAATACAGGAGTTTACAAACTGCAGAAGTAAAGGTTCCTTGATACCTGATTGTCTTAACTTTTTTAGATGTAGAAGGTAAGACGAAATATTTTCTTAGCGATTGATAAGATGTGGGATGACCATGAAAGGCCAGAGGAAAGAACTAATCCAAGGTATTTAATGCTTGACTTAGTTTCAATTTCAGTGCCATCTATGCTACAGGCATCATGGGAACCAACTAGTTCATGAATGTCACGTCGATGCTTGAAATTAAAGTTAACTACCTGACATTTGGAAGGATTTAACATAAGACCATTTGACTTAGACCACTTGCTGATGTCCAACAGAAAGCTATTAAGTTTGAAGCAGTCAGACT